AATTGTAGAAGACCTTAATGTTTATTTGTCATAGGAGTATTGAAGTTTTAGTCTAAAGCCTTGCACATTAGAAGGTTATTTACCTATTCTTATGTCTCCTACTCTCAGTCTTTACTAATGGAAGGATCAATAGTAGTACCTCTGATATGAAATGATGAATTGATATATCTTTTTTTTGGTTGGGGGGTTATTTTAAACCAAAATATATTTTTCATAGGAATAATATTCACAAGAGTTTATACACCTTGAATAGATAAGTAATGGGAGAGACAACATTAGGGTACCTTATTTAGGACTTAAGATATTAAAAAAAGTCCATCCACATATTCAAATGTGAAATAATTATAAATATTTTAATTTCAGTTTTATACAGTCTTGAGGGCACGAAGATTTCATAAATTATACTAACATAGTTTCCTTTGCTGGACTTCAAAATTTAATAATGGGGCACATGTATTTTTCTGTAATCATCATTTGACTTTGGTGAGATTATGAATTGCTAATAAACAAAGGCTTGTAGTAATTTGGACCCCAAAGACTTAAGATCCCTTCTTAGGGAAGGCAGTTAAATCAGGAAGTTTCAGCAAAAAAAATTTTTCTAAATGTGTATTTTTTAATATTTGTACTACCAAGATGTCTTTTTTTTTTTTTTTGTCCTCTTTTAAAATTTTTTTGAGAAGAGAATATAGTCACCCATAAATGTCACAAAGTTACCTTTAGCCGTATTTTAAATAGCTAAAATCAAAGCATACATCATTTAGGTCCATAGTCTCTCATAAATCCTTAAGTCTGTATGTATTATGGAATTAAGAATTTTTTGGATTTCAGAAAGGTAATAAAGTGCATATAAGGTTTACTATATAATATCCACAGTGTTTTGTAGCAAAACATTTGAGTAGTTTCACTGTGTGGGATAAATAAAGACTGTAAATAACCTCACATCGGTTCAGGTCAGGTTTTGCTGCCAAGATGAGTGTTGGTACCAAGCTTGCAAAAGCAAAAAGAAAAAAACTTGTGGATCAGGGTTGTGGACCTTCACTTTGTAATCTACTTTAATTTAGCATTTAATGGTATAAATATTTCATACATAGCAAGTATATCAGATATAATTATTTGATGACATATTATTTTATTATGTTAGTACTGTATACCAAAATTTATTAAATCACTCCCCTAATGCTAAGTGGAAAAATTATCTCCTGAATCTTGGTGTCACAAGAAGCACTGAGTAAATATCTTTTAGTATGCATTATTTTGTTTATGTTGAATAAGTTCCTCAGAATGGCCAAAGGTCATTAAAAGTTTTGTGGAGTATCCCATATAACTTTCCAACAGGTTTGTATGAATTTGCAAGGTCACTGGAATGAGTACCAATATCTCTGTACCTCACAAACAGTGGGTTGGGTGCAAGCATTTTCTTTCAAAAAGGGGGAAGGGGGCTGGCCTGTGGCTCACTTGTGAGAGTGTGGTGCTGCTAACACCAAGGCCGCAGGTTCGGATCCCATATTAGGGATGTAGGGATGGCCAGTTAGCTCACTTGGGAGAGCGTGGTGCTGACACCACCAAGTCAAGAGTTAAGATCCTTTTAAAAAGGGAGAAGGGATTGGCTGCTTTAGATGATATGTTACTTTAACTTATCTGACCATCAGTTAAGATAAACAATACTAACAAAGATATTTTAGTGTAGTTGAACTTTTATTGTTGGTTTGAATGTAGGATTTATTTTCGCTTTTAAAGAGAGCCCCTTGCTCTGGGGTCCCTAAAATAGTAAATGTCAGTCACCACAATGTGGAACCTCTCAGAGTTCTATAATTAATTAATTATAGAAGCATCTGCAGAACACTCTTGTATGATCTTGGCTTAGTTTATCTTCATCTAGATTCACTATTAAATAATAAATTCATTGTTTTAACTATGAGGGGTAGGAAAGAATTGGTAGAACCTTTGTGGCAGTGAGTAGTGGGAATTTTAAAAATGTTTAATCTCTGCCTTAGTAGTTCTTGTAAGAACGTTATCCAAAAAACACATGAAGCTATATACTCAAAGCTGTTTATCACAACATTATTTATTTTGAAAATATTAAGACTACTTAATAAAAAGAAATAATTCAACTATCCAACATTAGATGAGTGTTTTGTTTTAACATTTTAGCATATACGAAGGGTCTTCAAAAAGTTCAAGGAAGAACTCATATCATCTTTTCTTGGAGGGGGAAAGAGGGTGGCTGGTACTGGGATCCGAACCCTTGACTTTGGTGTTAGTGCTCTAACCAACTGAGCTAAGTGACCAGCCCTCATTTTTATCTTTTAAGTCAGTTTTTCCACGAACTTTTTGAAATATCCTTGTAAATACTTAGAATTATTTTAACCATTAAAATTTACTTACAGTTACTTAAAAATCAAGGTGCAAAATTGTCTCTATATTGTTTCAACTATGTTAAATATACAAAAAATGATTAGACGGAAATATCCTCATGTGTTAACTGTGGTTATCTCTGAGTTATGGAATTAATAGTTCATGCATACTTCCTTCTTTGTACTTTTTTCTCCTTTTCAAATTTTCCATGGTAAATTTATATTACTTATAAAATTAAGAAAAAAAGCCAGTAGATGCAATATGTAACACTACCCAGTCAAAAACACATTTTTTGAAATACATTAAAAGTTTTTGAAAGATGAAGCCCAGATTCCCTGTGACCTGTATGATGTTATCCATGAAAAAATGAAAGTACTATTTTTTCATTAAAATGGGTGATATAATGCTTAATATCTTTACAGATTTGACCAAGTAGTCTCTTTATTAACCCAGAATGAATTCATTGAAGATTTTTTCTCTGAAAAATCATCTTTAGAGCTTGCAAATACTGTACCAAATAGTCCGGGTCCAGAAAAAAAGCAACAGCATTTACCACCACCTATAATCATGAGGAAATCACAGTCAGACACTCCCCACCCCACTTCATACCCCACTACACATGCACACATTCACTCATGCAGTCCTCTGTGATATACTTTAAGGCAGCAGTTTTCAGTATGGCCCACAGATCCCTAGGGATCCTCAGAACTTTTTCCAGGGGTGTCTTCGAGTTGAATACTCTTCATAATGTACTAGATGTCATTTCCATTTTTCAATGTGTTGACTCTTGCACTGATGGTATATAGAACAGCACTGGGTGAAACAGCCCTGTGGGCAAAACTGCCAGTGCCCTGGCCCACAGATCATTACATTAGCCCCAACTGGTATTACTAGCTGTGTTCTTCACTGCCATGCATTTGCAGCTGAAAACAAATGCAGTTTCACTTAAGACTATCCTTGATTAAGCAGTAAAATTATTAATTGTACAAGTTAAATCTTTGCTTTTGAGTACACAGCTCTTTAATATTTTCTGTGATGAAATGGGAAGTACACTAAGACCACTCCTGCAGCAGGGTGATTTTCTCCAGGAAAAGCAGTTGGGCAACTGAGTGCGTTGTGAGCTGACCTAGCCGTGTTTTTCATGGAACACCATTTTACTTGAAAGAACAACGGACTTACTCAGATTTGAGCATTTGACAGACACTTTTTAGAAGATGAATGAAGTTAACCTGTCACTCTAAGTAACTGAGTTTTTGTTGCCAGCAATAAAATTTGAGCTTTCAAGGGAAAATTAGAATTTAGAAAAACTTGTATCTGCCTGCCACTGTGAACTTGACAGCTTCCCACTACTTAAGACTTATAAGATGGAAGTGATATTAACAAATATAATTTTTTAAATATTGTATAATGAAACATGCCAACACTGGGAAGATCTGCATAACTTACTAACCCATTATGTTCCAAATGACCAATGTCTGATGTCATAGAATTGTTGGCAGGTAAAAGATTCATTCAAAGTACAGGATTGACCAATGAATTTTAACGTAACAGTACAAAAAGCTCATTGGTAGGGTTTCCAATTTCACAGGGAACTAACCTTTGGAAAACCACCACTTGTCAAATTTTGGGGTAGTAACAAAGAAGAATATTTACAGTTATCTGAAAAGGTTGTTAAAATACTCTTTCCTTTTCCAACTACATTTTTATGTAAGGCCAGAGTTTCTTCATATACGTAAGGTGTGGTGCCAGGCATCCCGTGAATTGCAGACACTGAGGCCCCACCCTAGGCCTCCTAAATCAATCTAATAAGGTCTTCAGGTGGTTCTCCTGAACACTGAAGGACTGCCTTCAGGAACTTATGGAAGCAGCTTCAGGTGGGGCAGTGTGGAATCCAGCGGGAAAGTGAAACTGCAGGGAGGGAGGACTGGGAGACTCAGGCACAGCACCCCTTTTCCCAAAATGCTTCCCCACTTCTCTTTGTCTCCTGGTCAAGTGTTTAGTTTTAGGAATGTATTCTCATACAGTTTAGACGTTTGAAATTGTTTGGAGGTCGAACAGAATCTGGGCTCAGAAAGGGTAGGCCACTCAGGAAAAGAAGACCTATTGGAGATGTGAACCCTACAGCACTACCCATAATCTTCTGGAGCAAGGCATGTCTGTCCTGGTACAGGCCTGTGACTAGGAGATTTTATACAGTGTTCTCACCTCATCTCTCATTTGTTCTTGTCTCTGAAGACAACCACCATTGCTATCAACTTTAGAAAATGTAGAAAAAAATAATCTCATTTAAATTTAGTTGTAGATTTATGTTTATCTCAAAACCAGTTTTCACCTTTTAATTATATCTTCTCTTTTAATACATAGTTATATCAAAAAGAATGCATGTAATCCCATTCAGGTAGATGTTCATTTGGGTATTGCTTATGTAAAGCATTTCTGAAATTAACTGGCCTTTGTAGATTTAGTATTTTGTAGCAGAGAAGACTTATAAATTTTTAGAAGTGTTTGATGTTCAGTCTGAAATGATTGAATAAACAAAGTATGTTTGGATTAAGTGTATGACCAGACACTGTAATGTAAACTGCTGTAACAAGATCCTCTATTTTTAAGCCCTAATAACCATGTTATTTTCTTCTTGTTTTTAGGGTGAATCTGTAAAATATTTCCTGGATAACTTGGATAAACTTGGAGAGCCAGTAAGTTTTTTAACTGAATGTTTATGTTTATTCCCATTTGAAAACAGCAATCAGGATATTGATGCTTTTATTTGGGGGCAGCTTGTTAGGAAATTTAGAAGAATTATGTATTAAGTTATATGCCTCTTTTGTTTTCCTAGTGGCAATATTCTGACTCTTCCTGCTTTATTTTAGAGTGATTGGTAGCTAAGAATATTGAATGGTGTTTAATTTTCAAAGTGAAAAAGTACTTTTATTTTTCAGTCACTTCTTTTTTCTCCTTCTGCTATTCATGTCTCTGCCATTTCCTTGAGGAATGCCCTATCCACTATTTCATGGAAGAAAAACTGTTTAAAGAAAGGAATTTATCTTTGAAAATGAGTGAAAATGAGGTTTCACGTTAATACTTCAGTGTCTTTAGGGCTTTTCTTTTGTAAGCAGAAATAGAAAGAACACAGTGGGTTGATTGATTTTCAAACCTTTTAGCAAGTGACATTTTCCAGTAATAGAGTTCATTATTTTCCTGTAGTGTGCTCAGAGCCAGTAACTCTCAACTGGCACTATGGACGCTCTGGCTTCCCGGGACCTGCTGCAAGCAGAGCAGTGCCCCTTGTCTGTTCACTGTATTGCTCTTTGCAGAAGCACTCATGGGAGGAAAGGTGTTTTTAACTTTAACAATATAACTGAAGGAAAGCACAAAATGAACCTGTTGCAAGTAGGAAAATAACATACTAGCGTATCTAGGACATGTGAGAAAGTACCTTCTTTTTGCCCTAGCAGGTTAATTTTTATATTTTTCCCTCTATTTTTCTAAATTGCATTTGTCTACCTGTATGCCAGTTTGTTTTTCTCCTGCCTGTTTCCTAGACCCAAGTGCTCCCCAGAAGTTGAGATCTCCGTAATTTATCTGTTTTTACTGATTCAGTCCTCATCTGTGAAACTTTGTATTAAGATCTATTTTATTATCACTTTTCCATCTGGTCAGATTGTAAACCCTAAAAAAAGTTATGTATAGGCCAAATGGAGAGAATCCTTACTAGATAAACTGATTTTTTAAGTTATTTCTTATTTTCTAGTCCAAAAAGTGCTGACTTGACCTATTCTTCTTAATTTACCTTTTCAGATAGGCCTTCCTTGAGCACATCATTCAGAGCAGGTCCCCTTCTCTTATTCTCAGTATCAACCCTTGCTCTTACCCTCACTTGTACATATTGCAGTTGATAATTACTTTATGTTTGTCTTTACCCATCTCTGCATAAGGGCAAGGACTTCATCTCTTGATTGTGAAGAATTGAGTTCCTAGTGCCTAGTGACAATGCCTGGCCATGAAGTAGACACTCAACAAATAGCTTTTGAATGAATGATTCTACACCAACTCCAGTCAATTTGTAGTAGCTGCTTAGAATTCTGAGGCCACATCTGGAATAAAAAAATAATGCTATGATCATCATGTCATCGTAAAGGAGGGGAGAATAAACCTGGGTGTGCTACATTTTTGACACCCATTTTGTGCATATTGGACAAATCACAGGATTGAATTTGCTGCTCTATTTTTTACTGAAGTACCAGGGCCATCAAAGCCCTGCTGTGTGCCAAGCCCTGTGACCCTCCAGCAGGAGGAACAGCACATGGCTCAAGGACATGGGCTGTGAAGCCACACTGCCTCGGTTCCCATCCCACCTCCATCACAGACTGGCTCTTTGTGACCTCAGGCATCTCTAAATTGCAGTTTCTTTATCCGTAACATGGGCATAGCAAGAGAGCCAACTTTGTAGGGTACGGGACATTTACATGAAATAAACCTTGAAGTTGCAGTAATGTAGTAAATGCTCAGTGGTATCTGTTTTGCTCTTTGATCCCTACATTTAAGGAGCTCAGTCTGGTCAGAGAGACAGAACTAATAAATGAAACAAGTAGGGGACAATTAAATGATACTGACCACAAAGATAACATTAGTTCATGGACTGGAGAGAGATGTCCTGCTGGAAAAGTTGCAGCTACCTCTAACAGTGAATGAATTTGAACTGCCAGAAGAATGGGTTGGATTTAGATACATAAAGAGGAGATGCAGCCCACTGAGATGGGAGATAGCTAGATGTTCAGTTTTAGGAGGCACATCTGTCTGACAAGGGATACGTGGAGCTCTTGGGTCTAACTTGTAAAAACAGGTTTCTAGAAGGCAGTAGCTTGGGACTTTATGCATTGTTCATTGCACTCTCACTGTTGTATAAATGAATGAACATGTAACAATATTAAGATGTGAAGCTTTGTGCAGGTCTTGATGACAGGCCTTGTGATGAGCTTGAATAATGCAGAGATTCCAGAAAACAAGGCATAAGAGCACTCTGAAAGTCAGTCAACAGAGTTTGGATCTGATGGAATAAGGAATCCCACCATAAGTTCTGGAGTCATGACACAGGAGGGTTAGTCTGAGAGAGGCTTAGAGATGGATCCAGGAGATGTGAGACTTCACCTCTTTGGGGCAAAGAAACTAGTGAAGAGATGGCAGTCCATGTCTGTGATGATAAAAAATGGCAATGGGAATAAAAAGGAAAGGGAACATGCAAGAAAGATTCAAAGAGGAACAGCAGGATTTGATACAAAATAGGAGATGATATGTACATATTTATATATACTTTAAAGAAGAAAAAAAGATGGATGATAGAGAGTAGTCCAAGGTGATAGGGAGACTTGAAGCTGGAATTGTTGGCAGGGCAGGAAGTAGAAAGGAAAGTGTACTAGTGGGACATACAAGGAGAGGAATTGGTAAGAAAGAAAATGAGTTTTCTTATTGATTATGTTGTGTTTGAATAGATTGTCAAGTGCAAGTGACTGGTTAGCATTTAAAAATGAGACTCGAATTGAAGTATTCCTAGCTATTTCAGCCTTCTTTGATTTCTCTTTTGTCAGCAATGGCAATGGTGGCAACGGTAGTGGTAGTGGTAGGTGTAGCAGCAGCCCACAGGCAGATCATATGCCACACACAGTTCTTAAGCCCCTTGCCCATTTAACTCATTAGTCCTCAGGCAGCCCTATGAATGTTATCTCTATTTTACAAGTGAGGAAATTGAGACTTGGAGAGGTCTCATGGCTCGCCCAAGGTCATGGTGAGCTGGCTGTAGGATTCACACTCCTAATGAACACACTAGCTCTGCCAGACCAGTTAGCACTTGATTACGTTGTCCTGCGTCCTGTGCTTCATGTGCATGAGCCTTTAGATTCCTAACTCGATTGTTGGCTCTTCATAAAGATAATAATAGAGAACTCTTTATTTTTATGGAATTAGAAAATTTTTTGAAAGCTCAGGGTTGGCACACTTTTGAAGTAGCTGGAACAGATGTACATTGTAAATTGGTACTACCTTCTGGAAAGCAATTGGGCATTAGGTGTCCAGGGTCAAGAAATGTAACTTTGATCTCATAATTTTATTCCTGGTTACTTTAGTCTCAGGAAATAGTCCAAAAGGAAAACAAATTATGTATATGGGAATTTTAATTGCAGTATTTCTGTTAATTACAGCAAAAGAATAGGAGACAGCCTAAATGACCACTAGTAGGGGAATGTTAATGTAAATTACAGCACATTAATGCATTTTTGATGCCTTTTATAGTCTTTTAAAATGAGAATGACTATTGGCATATGGAACAGCTCATGATAAAATGTTAAGGAAAAACGGAGGCAGGCTAAAAATTGTGTGCATACGCTGATTATAAGTAAAGTAGGTATGCATGTGAACAAAAGCTAGAAAAAAAACATGGGAAGGCTAACACTTTTATTAGAGTCCTACAGTTATTTAATGAATGGCTGTGGATAGCCGATAACTAAGAACTGCCTACTTTAAAAAAAATTCTTGGGCTGGCCCTGTGGCTCCCTTGGGAAAGTGCGGCGCTGGTAGCGCTGAGGCCGTAGCGCTGAGGCTGCAGGTTCGGATCCTGTATAGGGATGGCCGGTGCGCTCACTGGCTGAGCGTGGTGCAGACCACACCGTGCTGAGGGTTGTGATCCCCTTACCGGTCAGAAAAAAAAAAAAAAAAAGAAATTCTTAATTCCATTGCACTATGTTGAGGAGATGAGTTTTTACATTATAATGCAATTTCAAAGTTATTACACTACTTGGAAAAACATAAAATGTAGCATTGTAAATAATAATCAGCATTGTTTTAAATCCTGCCTTGATTTTTTAAGTATTTTGACCTTGATGTTGAATGTGTTAAAAGCTCTCCTGTTCATGTATTGCCAAAAAGCCATGTCAAAGTTCTGGAAAAATGCTAGACTGAGAAGGAAAAAGCAGTTACATTGCATAAGGAAGTGTGCCATCAGGGTGTAGCCAGTGACTTGTGAGATCAGCAGCTTCCACCTGTTCAGGATCTTGTAGTTCACTGTGAAGAGCTCAGAGAAGAGCCTGCTTGCTGTTTGCAACAACCCTCCCTCTGAGGCAGGTAGACAGGTATGATCACCTCCCTTTCACAGGCAAAGGTGCTGACACTCAGAGTAAGTGACTAGTTGTGAGTTCTTGGGTCAATAAATGAGAAAGCTGGAACATAGCTACTTAGACTGTGCCCTGGAAAGAAACCTAGCAAGTGACCCAGAGTAAATGTGGTTAATTAGTAGTAGAGAAAGTGTTTTCCACACATGTTATATAGCAGGAGTGATCTAGCATGGAGCGACCTAGTATAGAAGTTCTCATTTGTGGAGTGCACAGTAAAGGAACATTTAGAATGGGTTAGAGAGAGGTGGACAGAACCTGGAACTGGGAAGGGATCCTTATGAATTGGCATTGGATTCAGATCCCGTTGCTTTTATTTTATTTATTTTTATTTTTTTGTTTTGGCGGCTGGCCAGGCCCATTGCTTTTAATAGAGGAGCAAGAGCAGTATGTAGAAGGTGGATGTGTGGGCAGTAGGGTCCCTGGCTGGAACTGAGAGTGGGTGATAGTGAGGAGTAAGAGTGAAGGTGGACATGTGGCGGGGGCGGTGAGGATAGTTACTAGATACAAGACTTGGACTTAAACTTTAGTACTATTGCAGGGGTGAAAAATAGTGGATGCTGGTCATTTGCAGTGAATTTTGAACCAGTCTGTAAACTAACATTTCAATGTATCTTGGCATTTTATAATGAAAAGAATAATAATCACATTGATGCTTTAAAATGTCATTAAAATGATCATTTTGTTTGGATATCCATTCACTAGGCCAGTTAGTAGTTCAGTAAAAATTCTAATAATTATGTCTGGATTACTAAGTATAAAACAATTTATTTTCTTTCCCAGGATTACATTCCATCACAACAAGATATTCTGCTTGCCAGAAGACCCACCAAAGGCATTCATGAGTACGACTTTGAAATTAAAAATGTTCCTTTCAAAATGGTTGATGTAGGTGGTCAAAGATCAGAAAGGAAACGTTGGTTTGAATGCTTCGACAGTGTGACATCAATACTTTTCCTTGTGTCCTCCAGTGAATTTGACCAGGTGCTTATGGAAGATCGACTGACCAATCGCCTTACAGAATCTCTGAACATTTTTGAAACCATTGTCAATAACCGGGTTTTCAGCAATGTCTCCATAATTCTCTTCTTAAACAAGACAGACTTGCTTGAGGAGAAAGTGCAAATTGTGAGCATCAAAGACTATTTTCTAGAATTTGAAGGGGATCCCCACTGCTTAAGAGACGTCCAAAAATTCCTGGTGGAGTGTTTCCGGAACAAACGCCGGGACCAGCAGCAGAAGCCCTTATACCACCACTTCACCACTGCCATCAACACAGAAAACATCCGTCTTGTTTTCCGTGATGTGAAGGATACTATTCTTCATGACAACCTCAAGCAGCTTATGCTCCAGTGATGTACAAAAGACTCGCTATTTTAATATCTTTTTGTGGTTTTGATTGTCTTCTGTTTGTTTTTTTTTTTTTTTTTTAAATAGCAGTTTACAACAGGAATTAGAAAAATCTCGATTCTATGTTTAACTTCTTGGAAATTTTAGTCCTTCTGCAGCCTTTGGTTTGTGGCTGAAAACTGCTGAATAACACACTGCCAATATCTGCTGAAATTAAGGCTTTGATCTGTTTCACTGTGGCCTCCATTCAAGTTGAGTTATAACTTCCTGGCCAACCTCAGACTAGATATATTTCAGGCTTTAAATTCTATTTTTCAAACTGAATTCTCCTGTAGTGCCAAGTATAGAAGGTATCCTTAAATTCTTGCAGGTATGAGGTTAGAAATATTCATTTCTAAAACAAGATATCTTCTGTCTGCCTTACACTTAGCAGCAACACTTTTGCCTGGCTTTATGGTGACCTCTTATTTTGAAATGGCTGTAGGAAAAAAGTTTGATCTAAGGAATGGCATTCTGTAGATTTACACAGGTTTAGTCCTCATGGTTTTTTTAATTGCTTATCTATACAACAGTTTTGTTTTAAAATTTTTGTGGTTTCTGAAGGTAATGTTCTTGGTGTTTTAAAGTTTACATAAGGATTTTCCATCTGATGCTAATGAAGAGTTCACAAATGTACAGGGGAGCAAAAGGAAAGCAAATGCCATATACAGTGTTTTGATCAAAAGTAATGAGTGAAATATAATTTGCCTTTTTCATATTTAAGTCTTATGTAATTTAATGTGCCATACATGAAACATTCTGCCCATAGCAACAACTAAAAACTGCAAGTAACTTGGAAATAGAACTTTCTAAATAAACGTACCTGTTCCAGAATGTCATGTGTTTTACTTTTAAGTCCTATCTCAGTTGTTCTTGGTCTTTACTGTAGGAAGTCATAGTTGCACCATCACAGACATCTTTCTTTTGCTCTCTTGTCCATTCCCATCAATTCCAAATGTGGCATTTACAGGATTTTTTTGTTTATTTGGAGCTTGCCAAGGGCAGTATTTTCCTGTCAAACTATTCAAGAAGGCATTTTTTGGGATTCCTTTTCATTCTTGGTGTAATTCTAAGAGATACAATATGTACACATTTGTATATTGTTTATGAAATGCCAGCTTTTTGAGGTACATTTATATGTTTTAAGGATGCTTCTAAGGATACATAGTAATTTTTTTAGTTCACACCTAAAGATGACTACATTTGACTTCCCCCAGTGCTTACTGAATTAAAACATACCCATGAAGTAGCTTTGTGATTACAAGTACATTTGTAGCGAGTGCATCAGAACAGCTCATTCACAGTACTAAGAATACTGCCCTATAGGTTATATGTAGTGTTAAAATTGAACTAGAGTAACAAGGCTGGTAACAGTTTGACAAGTCTGACAGCTTTTCTGCTTTTTCTGAAAATCGTGATTAAGACTGTGATATCTGTCACTTTACTATATAGCTGACTGTGTTCTCAGGTATTTTACTGGTCCTTGAAAGATTGGTCAACATTAGGGGTCGGTCACCCAGCCTTTCCAAGACAGTGGCTCTTGTTCTGTCTTGCTGTCTGGTATGAGAGCAGGGCTTTCAGTGAGCTAACCAGGGATTGTTCTCGACATACCTGACTTCTCGCATTTGAAGTCTCACTGTCACTGTATCCATGTAACTTCTTCCAGTGTTTTCATGTCTTGGTATATAACATGAGCTACATGTAGCCCGACATCGTAATGCAGGTGTTCATAGTATAATTTGTGCATGTTTGAATAGTTCTACATCTCCTGCTTCTTGCCAAAAAGAATACATTGTTAAAGTTCACAGGGTTAGCATAATTTCAGTGCTAATAAATATCTGAACATGTACACAGTAACATTTGGACTGTTCGTGGAGAGTCTGGTAGAGAGTCTATGTGTAAATTTAGCAAATAGATTTATTGAATGGCCAAAACATTTAACTCCAGTGAAGGCTGAAGTCAGTTCCCTATAGAAAGAGGCACTTAGTCTTATTTAAGTTATATTTAAGATGTGTGATATGAACCATAAATGTTGCCTGACAAAGCAGAAATCACTAACTTCTCCCATTTTAACTACCACTGAGAAATGTTAAAACATCAAATAGATAATGGTATTTGGGCATTTACAATTTTCTTCCCTAATGCATGTGATGTCTCAGAATCAACATTCTTTTAAAATAAAATCGAGACTATATTTTGAGGCAGTAAATTGTTTATATTTAATTTAAACAGGCTTGTTTAGATATTCAATGCAACTGTAAGGTTTCAATCTAAAGACTTTAGTCCACATTTTTTATATGCTGTGTTTTTAAACCATTTGAAAGGGGTCTTATACCTATATCATGAAAACTGGATCCTTTTGAAATACCACTATATGAAAAGGAAGATGAAATTTAGTGAACAGAAGTGAAAAGGTGCTCATAATTTGCACTAAGCCAACTTCCCCCATCTCTAAAAAAGTAATTTAGATGTAAAGTTCTTTGGTGTGTTCAGTTTTTCTAAATCTTTGTGGTTATGATTTGCAATAAAATGTGCCTAATTCTTTGTTATGTTCTGTTCTTAAGTCTAAAGGCTTTCTCATTTAATTCTGAAGAAATGTCACATAAGTGTCTTTGTGGACCTTAAAGAAATTTGTAGCATAGAGTTGCCTTATAAATCAAAGAATGGGACAAATTTACATTTTAATTTTTATAGCGAAAGGGTTTTGTCAAATGTTTTCTGAAGCTCTAAATAATTCAAGGCATACTTTTGCCATTTAAATAAACTGAATGTTTCTCTCTGCCAAATATTGTATTAAATTGAAATCTTCATTTCAATTTTGTTATCTGGAAAGGGCACTTGATAGCTAGAGTGCAATTGCATCCAAAGAAGGCCACATGGAATAAAAAGAGCATTCACTTTTGTCTTCTTTTGTTTTAAGTTGCATTGGCATGTACTTTACGTAGAGAGGGTCCTCTGATTAGTCTCTCAAGTTAAGGCTGTTCAGGGAAAGCCTTGTTCATTTGGTGGCAGCGGTTGGTTTAAAGTAGAAGAAAATAAGATCTCCTTAATACCAGAAATGATCGGAAGTATTGATTTAGATTCAACAGAAATCTAAATTACAGTGCCCTGTGATTCTTTGTAAGAAGGAATGGGTAAGTCTTAACTTTCAGTGTATACCCAAATACTTGTATTTATGCTTTTGATAAAATGTATTTTTCAGCATTAGCATACAATCCTGTTATGCCTTATTTATATGAAGAATAGTTACCAAGTCATGCTGTCATGTCCTGAAACTCAAATCATTATTTGAGAAACCCTCAAATTGGTGCTTTCATTATATAATGAAACATTTAGACAAAACCCCAAACCAAACACTTTGAAACAAGATTCTCTTCATTGCAATTTGTAGCAATGTTATTTCTGTATATGTAATGAGAAGGCTAAATATCAGTGTTAACTCTTAATTTTTTGTTCAAGTCCATGAACTCATGATTGTAAAGCCCAGTCAAACATTTGTAACAAACTCCCTAAAAATAAATCCAGAGAAAGTCACTCTGTTACCTTTTCATTTCTTTTAGTTTTATTTAAGGAATCAAGAACAGAAGTTTTCCACATGTCTTTTTGACCTGGAAATCTAAGTACCAGGTCACTTTGTCTCTTTCCCATTTTTCAACATGTTAAATTTCATTAATCACAGATGATCCATCCTTGCGTTGTGCTGCCTGACTAAAAGTACTGGGGAGGTTTTTGTTTGTTTTTTAACGATAGGATACAGGTGGGCTTTTGGGTCTAATAAACACGTGGAGCGGCAGATCATGAGTGGGTGTGTATGTGTCTCTGTGTTCCAAATAAAGCAGCTTATATAGTCCATACCCATTATTTTACGGTACAAGGTTAGGGCTTAATAAATTTATACTGTTGAAGTAGAAGTCTAAACCTGAACATTTTAAGCAAGTTGGACTTCGAGGCTTTTTCAGGTACCATCAAGGAGATATTAGCCTTAGGCTGGTAGGTGATCATTAACATCATTTGAAGTACAGAGTTTAAACAACTAGCATTTGTATGTCTGTACTTGAATGTACGGTTAGCGTTTAAATTAATATGTTCACTCTTGCAGCATTCAGGTCTAACCATCTGGTTTCAAATGCCAGAGTTTATATGGAACATTGTTTTTAAAGCATTAATGATATGGCAGTATTTTCTGGGTTGATAAGAGGTTTTTGTGACCTATACAAATCTGCTGTTGATAATAATAGTGAAAATCTACAGATGGATTGAGTATGTTGGGACCCACTATGTATAAATTTTCAATCAGTGAATGTCACTGATAGTAATATACTACTTACTTGGTATGTGATTTTGGTTTGTATTTAGAAAGCTTGTTTATAATTTCTTGCCATATGAAGTGATGAATTTATCCTCAATCATGCCTACTTGATGGTACCAGGAAAAAGGGGTAGGGAGTAGGGATTAATTCTTGCAAAGAATGTGTAACAATGCAGCAAACTATGCCATTTACCCTTTCTTTACCTCTTACTTGAAGCAGAATCGCAAAATGATTTAAATGGCTTTTCTATGCTAGTCTACTATGGTGAGAGCTCATTTACCACAAGAAGCCTTATCAAAAAGGATATTTTGTAACAACCTCAGATTCTGTACCTAACAGACCATGATTTGTATTAGCTCTGTATAAAAGTATTTGTGGCTTAGGTTTTTTTTATATGTATCTTTTTATAACTTTCCAGGAACTAAGCACGTTATCTGATTCTGTTGTAAATTTTTTTTTTTGTCAGTGCTTTAGTTCAGGATTGGCAATAAATTATTTCCAAAGGAGGTCTAAAAGTGGAAAGAATGGTTTGATTTTATACAATGATTTGCTAGTTCATTAAGGCTTTTTACTTTTGTACATATTTTGCGAAAATTTTGCCTCTTGCTATTAATATTTGCTTTGTAAAAATTACTGACATTTAATAAACATTTATAAATGATTCAATACTATTATGTTGTTTAAATTAACAGTTTGATAAGTGTAAAGTGTAAAATTGTTGCTTAGTTTAAAGTTTGAAAGCACAAGTCTCATCTAGTGACTTAGAGCACAGAAATCTACTTTGGCAGATCTCCAACAATACTTTGCCTTAATATTAGTCTAAACTTTTCCTTACTGAAGATGGAGTTGTGGACTTCTTCCAAGGAAGGTTGGAGACATTTAATATGTTTATACGTAGGAATAGGGAAAGGGAGCCTCTTGTTTTTCCCTGCTTTTCAGACAGTGCTGAAACTGCATTGGGCTGTATCCGGGCTCATGGTTTATCTTGCTGCGATAGTAATGCTGTTATGTCTATTGCAGCTGAAACTTCTAAAAACAAACCAACATGTTACCACTCATTTTTTCAATAAATTTTATTTTTGATGATTTTATTTTATTTACAGAAAAATTGTGAGATAATACAGAGTTCCCCTATTTTCCACATCCTTTATAACAGTTTCCCCAGTTAACAGTTTACATTAGCATGGTAAATTTGTCATAATTAATGAGCCAATATTGCTTTATTCAGATTTCATTTTAGTTTTTCCTTAATGTTCTTCGTCTGCTCCATCCGGGATGCCACATTATATTTAGTCGTCATGTCTCCTTCAGTTCCTCTTGGCTGTTACAGAATCCTTGTTTCTCACACTTACCTTGTTTTTGATGACCTTGACAGTTTTGAGGAGTACTGGTCAGGTATTTTGTAGAATGTCCCTCTATTGAGATTTGCCTGATGTTTTTCTCACGATGGACTGGTTATGTGTTTGGGGACCTCAGATGGGAAGTACTGTTCTCATCAGATCATACCAAGCATAACTTCTATGGTTACCATGCCTCTCGGCTAAATTAGAAGTAGTCAAGTGACATTTGGCATGTTCATACCTTTTTTAGCTGGCAATTATTGAAAGCTGTCCTTTTCTTACTCAAAACAAAGGGCTTTCCCCCACAATTTTAATTGCAACCCAGGTGTAAATAAATGTTGACCGTCAGTGGCGTACTCCTAAGCCGCTTGGCTCCAGTCTCTCTGGCAGATAAAAGTTATTTTCCAGGACTTCACCTTTAACGTGAAATTGTATTGTTGGTCCCAAGAAAAACTGAGTTGGAAAATTTGGACTTTATATCTAAATGTCTGACAATCTGTGATTTGGGGAACAGGTCATTAAAGGCTTTCTGGGAGAGATTTAAGATCTAAGATTGAAACTAAACTCACTTGAGCATGTAAGTTCAAGAATTCTATTTTAAAAGAAATCTTTTCTTATGCTATTGTTGAAACAAGGGAATACTCAGCATTGTAAAAATAAACAGCTAAAATTCAAATGATTGTCTAGCACAATCATGGTTAATTGACACCATGGGATGCCACGTGGGCATGGGACGCTCTCTGAAAGTGACCTGTTCCATTGCCTCTTTGTTGAAAGAGAAAAGGGGCCTCTGGTCTCTTGAGAATGCAGGAAACTCAAGGTTTACAGGTTAAACCAGGGATTTGTTTTGGTGATTTGGGAAATTTGGCAGATCCTCAAAAAACTGACGACCTTGGGCAGTCCTTTAAAATACATGCTGCAATTTTCCCTCAGAAATTAGGTACCTGAAATACAGTATTGTGGTTGCAGTAAGGAGTATCTATAAAAATGCCATGAAACTGTATTTCACAAGAGTTCCTTTTTCTCTAAAGAACACCAAGAGAACAAAGGGCTCAAACAAGGCTTCTACACAAACTAGCTATTCAAGGCGGCTGTGTTAGGTTCCTCTGTTTGCCACAAGAATACTGAACGAAGTGTCCAGAATTAACATTTACACCGAGTGGAGGACTATGTTGATTTTTCTTTTCCTCATGAAGGTACATGGTAGGAAAACAGAAGCAATCATGTCTTTTTAAGTCAATAATTATTTTGTAATTAACTGCAGTGCAGCTTGCGATGGGCTTAATATTCTGTGCCTGTCAAATGTTGGAGAGGGAATAAAATAAGCACATGAAACCAGAGGCCAAACACGGCTGACCTTGGGAGAGAAAAAGTCTAGTTGTTTCCCTTTGCTTGTCTATTATTCTTCACAGAAAATCAGCTTTGTGGGATTTAAGTAGCTCAAAGTAAGTTAATCGAAACTTTATCCTGAAAAAATGAACATCCCAGCACCCACGGCTCAGCTCTGTCTATATTACAGATTAAAGCTAATTTTCTACAGGCAGGCCTTGTATATGGCAGGTTATGGGTTAGGGGAAACTGCTAAGTCAATGGAAAAGGAGAATATTCCAGACTAAGGGCTGGATGCGTGACTTCGTGGAAATGATGAGCATCATTCTAACACAGGCATGCTGTGCAGCGTTTCCCTTCCGAGAGTACATGTAATAGAGCAACGTTCAAACTCCCTGCCTGGCGTCCAAGGCATCCGGGACATAGTGTCAATATCCTTTTCAACCAGCCCTCTCCTGCTTCCTTCACTGCAGCTAAGCTGGTTGGCTCATTTCCCCATATGACCTACTTCTGTCTGTTTCTCTGCCAGAGGGCAAATACTATGCATCCTTCAAGGTCCAGCTCAGAGGAAG